GCTGGGCAGTGTCCGGCCGGGACCGGAGCAGTGCTGGGCAGTGTCCGGCCGGGGCCGGGGCGGTGCTGGGCAGTGTCCGGCCGGGGCCGGAGCGGTGCTGGGCAGTGTCCGGGGGGTCGCGGCAGGAAGCGGGGCCAGCACCATCGCTCCCCCCAGCGCCCCTTCCCGGCCGGGGCCGCGCTGGGGCCGGGCGGGGGTCGCCGCTCTCTCTCCTGCCCGCCGCGCGCCCTCGCCCCCCCGCCAGGGCCGTTCTCCGCCTTCTGCCGGCCGTGCCAGGCAGCCTCTCTCTCGGCCTTCACTACCGGGTCAGGCGAGGCGGGAGCGGCGAAGCAGCGCCCGCCTCGCTCCGGCTCCGGCACCGACACCCCTCCTCCTCCTCCCCGCGCCGCGGCCGTCCCCTCCCTCCCTCTGCCTCCCTCCCTCCTCCCTCCTCCCTCCTGCCAGTTTGTCTACAACTAGTGCATCCACGCGCAGGCAGGGTCCGGCCGCCGCGGCTGCCATGGATATCAGCTAAAGCCGGGAGGAGCGGGCACAGAGGCGCTCCCCGACCCAGCTCGCAGCCCGCGGGGCCGCCGGCCGGCACAGCCGCGGCCGCTGCCGCCCGCCCCGAGCCTGCCCGGAGAGCGCGGCTGCCCCGGGGAGTGGGGGCAGACAGGGAGGGGGGAAGAAGCACGGACTGCAGGGAGGGAGTCGGGCAGAGCATCCCCACGGCAATGTCCAAGGGCTTGAAGAAGAAAAGCCACTGGACGAGCAGAGTCCACGAGATCGTGATCGTGAGGAACCCGGAGGGACAGCTGGGCTTCGAGCTGAAGGGGGGCGCCGAGAATGGGCAGTTCCCCTACCTGGGGGAAGTGAAGCCCGGCAAGGTGGCCTATGAGGGCGGCAGCAAGTTGGTGCCGGAGGAACTGCTGCTGGAGGTGAACGAGACCCCCGTGGCCGGGCTCACCATCAGGGATGTGCTGGCCGTGATCAAGCACTGCAAGGACCCCATCCGCCTCAAGTGCGTCAAGCAAGGTAAGGCGGGCACGGGCCCCCCTCTCTGCCCACCCCTTGGGGGCCGGGGCAGGTCTGGGGGAGCAACTTTGTTGCTGCAGTTTGACTTTCCCCCCTCCCCGGCGGAGCCGCCCCCTCCCTGGCGGCGGGGGGAGGATGCGAGCGGCGCTGCGCGGTACCCGCAGCCGGGCGAATTAAATGTGCGTCAGTGACAGCGCTTCGCCATGCCGAGGGGGGCCGCGGCGGCACCCCCTGCAGCCCCGGGCTCAGGGGGACGGGTCCCCGCCCGACCCGACCCAACCCGACCCACCGGCCCCGGTCCCCGCCGGCCTCCGGCTGCTGCTGCCGCCGGCGCTGCCGGGGGGCCGGAGCGGCGGCCGGGGCCGGGCTTGCCCTTGGCTTCGCCTCGCTCCGGGAGCCTTGGCGTGGGGACAGGGGCTGCAGCCCCGCGCCGGATCCCTGGTGGCGCCCAGGGTGGCTTTAGCATCTCTTAAGTGTTATTAGCGGAAAAGTCATTCATTTGATCCCTGGTGAAAAGGATCGCTAATCCCAGGGAACGGCGTGCTCAGAGCAAGTGAGAGGACAGGCAGAAAGAAACTTTTGGGAGAGAACGGTATACTCTTGCCTCGCCTCTGTTTCGCATATTTATTTTGAAGTACTGTAATAGGTTAATGCGTTTCCAGGAAAGTCAGTAGAGAAGAGGCGCCACAGATGCTGTTTACATGTTTGTTTCTGTCCTCTTTAAACTATGCTGAGTTGAGTTCTCTGCAGCTGAACGCTTGCGAGGAGGTTTCTTTTAGCCCAGCAGCGTTTCTGGAGCACAGGAGCTGCTCTGGGAGCCGAGTCTGTAGGTGCTCCTTGGCTATGGGTGGTGCAGCGGCTGTAGGCGTATCACTAAAGTACGCATTCCAGCCGGGCAGTGAGCCCAGCCATTGAAAACTTGGGAATTTCTGCGGTGCGAAGTTTTTAGATACCATGCATCAGAGGCGCTTGTGCTCTGCAACTACAGCCGTCAGCCTGTGCTCAGAGGACACAGAGGAGAATCTCTCTGACACTGGGTATAATTTGGCAATTTTACTTCCTCTTTGTAATTGACGGTTTATTGTTTAATGTATAATTTGCTACACTTCTGAATGCTTGAAGAGTATGCTAATTATTAGTTTATCCAAACATGGCAGAACCAGTAGAAAGAATCTGATTTCCACTTAGGCCTTCAGAATAAACTTTATTGTATATTCAGTTTTCTCCATGAGGTCAAGCCTCTATATACAGATATGATCTCTGACTCTTTTATTAGTCCTTATGGGTAAATTGTGCAATATGCTGTAGATCATATCTTGATAGCTGGGCTATGCAGGGAGACACAATAGTTCATGTGATAAGTGAAGATCAAAAATGAGTATAGCGGATTCTGTCTTGGCAGTGTAGTGTCATCTCTGGGCATCCGAATTCCAGGAAAGGTGCTCTGTACTGTCCTCTTTTTATTAATAATTTTAGTGTGAGTTGTCTTACTGTGAGGGGATTCAAAAAGAAGCAGCAGTTGAAGTGTCAAGAAGATAAGGGTAGATTGGAATCCAGTTGTTACTTTTTTTTTTTTCAGAAATGCTATAGATTCTTTACAATAAGGCTAATTTGAGGTTACTTTGAGTTGCTGTGTGAAACATATGTCCTATCTCTTCACTGTTTTTCTAATATTTCTCTTGAAATCAAAGCAACCACCGGTGATTCATTAATGTGTGCACCCTTAATAAATTACCTGTCATATACCTGAATTAGGGACATTAGCCAGGCTTTTAGTCTGGGAAATACTGCAAGCTTCTGCATGAGACATAAGGGATAAATTCTGAATTCTACCTAATTCTGTGTATCTGTACCTGTATCTATACCTCTCTGAGGAGTTTCAGTTCAGTATGTTAACTCACTGCAGTTTTAATGCAAGTTCTCAAAGCACTGGCCACATGACTGTGTCTTTGGAAATGACAGTTCAGCACAGATTCTTGGACTGGGAAAGACTTCCTGGCTGGAATGATCTTTCATGTGTTCCAGCATCCTTTACGCCAAAGAGAGAGGCCTTCTGGATCCAACTTCCTATTTGAAGGAAAAAAAAAAAGAGGCCAATGGCTTGTGCATTTTACATTTTACTACCTGACTCCTCCTTCAAGTATAAGGCAGTGTATCCCTGCGCCCCTCGGTGACAAAGCACAGCAGCCACATTACAGCAATACTACTATTCCCTAACAGTGCTTTGCAGCATTGTGTAGGAGAGAAAGGCCTGGGCAATAAAATCTTTATATGTTTTTGTAACTTTTGTACTCCTTCTGATTGTAAAGCACCTTTAGTGTGCTGGAACAAGGTTAATGACTCCATTATCATTGTTTCCGCATAATTTATCAGTGCTATCTCTGTCAATTAGAATAGCATGACCTTGAATGCACCATGTGACTGTAGCTGCTTCTTCAGTGCTGCCTAGGAATGAAGTCAGAGAGAGAAATGTGGAGGTAGGACATGACTATTTATAATGTGATCTTTAAGAGACTGCAAGTATTTCTCTTGTTTGGAAGTTTTGACAATTCAGCAGTGAAAATTCATTTGTAGATGAAATCAGAGAACAGGTAATTCAAGAATTAGCTGTTTTGAAGCATAGAAAAGGCGCTTTCATGATTTTTCCTTATGTTTGATTAAACACGTCTCTCTCTGAAATAATTAAATACTTCATCATTTATCACATTACTAGATGAAATACTTCTTTTGAAAAGCTGGTTAGAATATTGTTGTTTTGTGTTAGCTAAACATCTTGAGTTATAAAAACCCCAAACATATAATGTAGGAGTTGATGCATATTATGAAGAGGGGTAAACTTAATGAGAAACTGATTTGCAGTTCCATGATACAATTCAACATAAATTCTCCTAGGTATGGCACCTGATAAATAGGGTTTTAATGCAGGGCATTGTGCCTGGGTTTGCATGGGGAGAAAAGACTGTAAGAATTATTACTATTACTATTACTATTACTATTACTATTACTATTAATTACTATTACTATTATTATTATTATTATTGTGTATTAATTGTAAGAGTTCACAAAAAAATATTCCTTGGAGATTATTTCCTGTTTGGTTTTTTTTGTTAGTTTTTTTTTTGCAAGCCACTTGTGCTACTGTTGATCTCTGGAAACATATGGGATGGTCTTGGCCCAGGTGAAGTCAAAGGCAAAGCTGTCCTTGACATCAGATAAAGAAGGCAGGGTTTCCTCTGCAAACCCCATGCTCTTTTGAATATATACCCTTCAAATGAGAGAATTGTATACAGCAATTACATTAGTTGGGTGTATTGCAAATGTACATTCTGACCTTCTGCTCTGTTGGGTGAGGATAACAGCCTTGTACTGTTTCTTAAAGAAATACTTCTGAATTTCAAATATGTTTGTTTTTACATGTGGAACAGTTTGGATTAAGTGCTGTCTTCTTCCCACACATGTACAGATGCGTAGTTGTAAAAGTAGCAGTGTGTTAAGGAAAGGCATCTTAATTTGGATAAGTAATCACATGGGGAAGAGTCATATGGGGAGCAATGTTGCCTCCAGTTCCATTCTCTGTTCATCGCTGCTGTCTCAGATCCACAGGAATTCCCACCAGTGGCTGACACAGGTCTGTGCTGTGCACACTCACTCCTTGAAAGGTAGCACAAACAGCCCAGTGGTATAAACCAGGATCTTTATTCTTTGCAGAGAATTATAAACTTCCACAGCTGCCCTCAGCAGAATCCCAATGAGCAGTCTGAAAACATGAATTTCAGAACTCAGGAGCATTGCAACATGTTTTGTCCTGGAGCTCTTTCCTGATGCATCTCTTTCTCAAGGAAAATGGTTTGGATATATTAAATAACCAGGTGATCTGACCAACTGAGCAATTTAATTTGTTTTTAGAAGTATTTAGTGGCCTGACTATATTAAATATGAATAAAACTTTTTATGGACACTTTCTAATGGCTCATATCCTACTCTAAATAGTAAGACTTTAAGCATCAACCCCTTATTCTTTAGCTCCTTAAGCAGAAAAGGCATTTAGTACACATAATGTAAGGAGGAACTAAAAAACGGTTTTATTTTTGCAGTCCAATAATTTGCTTAATAGTGAGTGCATGCTAGAATGTTTTGTTGACTGTATATGTACTTGGGCATATTTTCAAGTGCTTTTCCAGTCTGGAGAAGATTTGGACCCTCATTAGGATGGATACAAGAGCAGCTGAGTTTGGGCAGACTGGATCCTCCAATCTTATTCCTGGTGGCTGCGACTGTGGTTGCCGAGCAAAGACTAAAAGGACAGTGTGGTACTGTCCCAACACCCACTAATTTGTGGCTAAGGGGATTAGTAGCCTTGTGGTGCTTTTTCTTAATGGGTTCATCCATAAGCTTTGCAATTAAGACCTGGTCTAAGTTTTAAAATTTCTTTAAAAGTCTGTGACAAGCCTTTTGACAGAGAAATGCAGTGATTTTCCAAAGTTTTGCCTGGATGTGTAAACATATTAACTAGTTAAAATGTTAGTATTTTACTACAGACTTTTTCAAACATATATTTCTATGTATAGTTATGTTTTTAAGTTTTTTTCTACTTATTTAAGGTCATAAATAATTCTCTTCTACATTCATAAATACACTCTGTGCATATAGTTAGTCTTTGGGTGATCTTTTATTCCTGGGTATCACTATATGCTATGTTCCAAGATGTGAGTGTTGGATATGTTGGACATAGTTATCTTCACAAGAAGAACAGTATTTTGCAACAGAAGGCTGCATGATTTTCCAGAATAAAAAAAAAAAAAAAAAAAAAAAAAAAAAAAAAAAAAAAAAAAAAAAGGGGGTT